GCTGACATCTTCCCTGCAAGGCACAGCAGGACTTTGAAGGGCGGGGCTTCGGGTGCATTTCTCGGTCTGCAGCCAGGGTGACCTTCGCCCTCTCTGTGACCACCCGTGTGTCAGGGGCACCACCATGCGCAGACGCAATGCCAGCCACTGGTGCTCTGACACAACTGTGGCTCGCACAAAACCCGACACATCATTATGCCCGCAGTGTCAAGCACTTGCACACTAATGCTCGTGCTGGATGTACATAGTCCCTAGGTATTCCCTTGTGTCTATCGACACTTCCCTAGTGTCACAGTAAATAAACTGCTGCCATGGCCACCATTGGTTTACCAACGCAGCTGCGTTACCAGCATGGCGACATTGCCATTGTCGATGTGGTTGGCGGTTGTACGGTTACCTCCTTCATGCCAGACTACGATGGCACTAATGCGTTGGGGGGCCGCCCCCGAGCCGGGCTGAGCTGGTGGGCGGCCGCCCCCGAGCGGGGCCGATGGGCGGCTGTTCTCGAGTCGGGCCGGGCCGGCGAGCGGCCGCCCCCGAGCCGAGCCGGTGGGAGGCCACCTCCGAGCCGGGGCCGGGGGTGGGTGGTCGCCCCCTAGCCGGGCTAGTGGAAGGCCGCCCCGAGCCGGGCCGGCCCGGTAGGCGGCCGTTCCTGCAACAGCGCCCCCTACCTGAGGTTGGCGCCGCAGTGTCGGCAGTCAGTGTACGTGCCGGGCGGCGGTCCGGCCCGGCACGAACTGGCTGAGCCTGTCTTCGCCGCAGTACGAGTTCTGGCAGACATACCGCGCGCACTCCCTGCCGGACGTCACGAATGCGGGGTGCAGGACTCGAGAGCGATGTCACCTTCCACTGGTGCAACAGCAGGACGATCGACAGGTCAAGCCGGCAGCTTTAGTTTGCAGCAATATCCAGCAGCCCTGCTCGTCATCGATTTGGTGGTCGTTAAATGCGGATTAGCACGCGCTTGAGGTGGGGGTCAAATCGACTCTCCCGACGTTTTTTCCAGACTGATTTCTGAACGGCGCAGCGAAGCCGCGCCAAATTTTGCATAGCTGTAGAAAATTGAACAGCGAATATTTTAGTGTCAATATTAGATGTGCGTTGTTAGGTCGTTGACCTTACAAGGCACATCTAACGTCACTGATTGACTTGTAAGTCAATCCATGGCTGTCACCACAGGGCATTTTAGGGAATTGTTCTATGTGATACAACAACGGGATGCTACACGAAGCCATACCTATTTGAGATAGTTTCTTAGGTAATGTCAACTGAATTTAGAATTACAACCAATTGCGATAAACTAGGGTCAGGTGTGAAGGTCAGGCCAAGATTAACACTAACCTGTTTTTTTTACTGGAGAGCATGATTTTATGGGGCAGTTTCTGGTGTCGATTTCGAATCTATTAATGCCAGTGACTGCAACTAACTTGTTGAATGGACTTCTTATAGGTCAGAGCAGGCCACTAACCTAAAATGACCCAGGTCAACATTTTGTTTCTAGGAGTATACCGCCTAATGTAATCCCTGACCTCATTTAAACGGCAAAATAGGAGCAATCTCGTAGGTATCTGGTCACATTGACCTTTTCAAACAACGCCACTGAACCCATTTGTTTAATTTGTCTAGAACAGGTATCTAGATAGATTCGCGGTGGTTGCATGGGGAGGTCTGGGGGCACATGAGACACCAACTTGGAGTTTGACCTTGTCTGATCTAATTTGACCCAAATGTGGTGACCTGGGAACCTCAAATTTTTACACAATTGAATCCACGCCCAGGCCAATCCACCCTGTGAATGTGGTGTCCCTAGTTATCTTAGTTTTTGAGATCTCAGGGGAGATAGAACTGACCCCCCGAGCGTAGGGTATTCAAACGGCTACCCGGGCGCGTATTAATGAGCTGATAAAACATTAAAAGGGTGTGGCCACAAAGCCGCATCCGTACCTTTCAGTACCGCACCGTATACCGAAAGCACTCCACGCCTGTACGCCGACCCGCAATGTGGCGCCCAAATACTAGACCATTTTCGCCTCTGCGAACTGTTCATTGCTGCCCCCGTCGCGGCTGCGCACGCTGTCGGGAGCGGCGGCTGCACCCCCTCACGACACAGGCAGCTGGGGGCCGACCGCCACGGCCCCTTGACCCGCGACCGGGGCGCGAGTGACCCACACAAACTTGGCGGGCAGCGTGAGCGACAGCAGCACGCCGCTGCAGGAGATGAGCCGTCCGGTGACCTGAGTCACCGACGCCGCCGGGCACGGTAGGTTGTACGGTCGCAGGGTCACCAGAACCTGCCGGGCGCCAGCGGGTCGGGCCAGAGGGTCGGCAGGCCGCCGGTACGCGGTGGCGGCCGAGTACGCTCCCAACGCAGAGACCGGCGACATATCGCCGCCTAGGCTAGCCCTGCGTGCTGGACAGGGTCGGGGCCGATCAGCGGCCCGACACGGGGCATGACAAGAAGGTGGAGTGGGAACAAACCGATCTGCGAGTCTCACTCACTGTACGGGAGAGGACCGACCTGCGGAGCATGACTTGGGGAGAGAATCTGCAATGAGTGCTGAGGCTGGGCTGTGATGGGCGGATGGACCGGGGATGGGTGGAGAAACCGGGGATGGCTGGAGGAATCGAGGATAGGTGGAGGGATCGGGATGGAGGGGCCGGAAGATGAATGGATGTGCCGGGGAAAGGTGGAGGGGCCGGGCATGGAGAGAGGGGCCGGAGATGGGTGGAGGGATCGCGGATGGGCGGAGGCACCTGGGATGGATGGAGGCACCGGGGATGAGGGCCTCTTCCTGTCCGCCACGGACAGGAAGAGGCCCTGATGGCAGGAATGGGGACTGACTTGCGACAACCTGCCTCAAACCACCGCTGGAGGGCGGATGTTGGACACTTGACCGGTCACCGGAGGAGGGACGGCATGCAACAACCTAGAGTGGGGCACCTAGTGTGTCGCAGGGCGCACTGACCTGGGACGGGTCGAGGGTGATATCAGGGAGCAGGTTCAGACTGGCGACGGCCTGGCAGGTGAGCTGCTGGAACAGACTCATGGCCTGCAGCGGGCGCTGCACCAGCATCTCCGCCAACTCATCTGGCAGACAGACATATCCTGGCCAGCTGCCCACTCACTACAGCGCATTTTACGCCAGTTATGACTGACATGACATGATGAAAACGCATGTACACAAATACTAACAACAAACAGCATTAACATGAAAACATGATCAGAAAGTGACAACTACATCAGGGAACCGCGTGCGAAAATGGCCGGCAACGGACGCGGACACTCTGTACTGATAGCGACATGGCATTGAATGGTAATGCGTTCTGTGTCCGTTACTGTAGTTTATTCCAGAAATATTAGTTTTGTCTTATCTGACCATTGTGACAACATTTATTTGAAAACGTCGCACACAATCAAGGCTTCGAAAATTCGGAGACGCCACTCACAGCACAGGTCGAGGGTGCGCACGAGGTCGGCGCGTACTGTGACGGGCAGCAGCAGGAGCCGCGGCCGTGCGTCGGCCGCCTCCCACGTCAGCTCGGCCACCGTCTCCTGCAGCTGTGCGAACCAGCGCTGCTCGTCCAGCAGGCGGACAGCGGCCGCCAGCAGACTCATCGCGCCGCTGGGCAGCCCCGCTGGTCACCTGCGGAGCGGGAGCAGCAGCTCAGAGGAACTCCACTTGTCAGCGAGAGGTAGCTGACACACAACGTGATGATGTAGCTGGCCTGGTGTGCATTTGAACGATGCCTTGATGAATCGGGGCAGGAACCACAGCTTCTGCGCGTGATGGCACGTCAGATGGATGCAAGGTTACGTAGTTTTCTTTAAACGTTTTTTTTCGTTTGGAACTAATTTTTCACCGACTGAGATTTGGTGTAGTAGGAAGAAAATTGAGTGCAGCACCTCTTCAGTGCCAAAAACAAAATAAAAATGCCGCTACAGACCACTTTACAAAGAAAGGCACCCAGTGGCTTGAGCAACTCAAGTCAGGGATAAGAGCGTAATTTCGCGAAATGTGTTGGAGAGGAGGGTGGGGGCTGAACAGTGAAAAATGGCAAAACCTGCCCCAAAATGCGGACACGAAAAGGTTTCTCCAAGGATCTGGCCCACCTGCCTTTCAAAGCTGCTGGGGTGATGGAGCCGGGAAGGGGGGGGGGGGGGGGCTGACCCGCACCCCGAGCTGAGTAGAAAACATCCATGGAGAAGCCACAGCATGTTAGTGTGAAATATATTTTGTTTTGGCCATGTTCTGATTAATATGAACACAAACTACACTGCGATCAACAGGCAACCTCTCCTTGATACATTTATGAAAACGGGACTATTTACGGAAGATGGTTGCGGTCTGTTCAGACCTCAATGTTTGTTCACATTCAAAAGCCTTTCTGAGGTCATCACTGGGCTTCGTAATAACGTCTTGTTTGTCGCAATATATGTAAATAACACTTGCAGCTTCGACCCCCTTGGTATGGAGAGCAAATCTATACAACTAAAGATGTCACTAAATATGTATATAAAATGCGGCATGCACCCCATGCACTCATCCTTACACCGCACAGTTCGCAAACGGTTAAACATACTCGGTTTATCGGTTTACTTAGTTCAGTTTATTTCGTATTGAGGTCTGTATGGTTAAGCCTTTTGCTACATGATTTCTAAAATGACTCAAGTCATTCACGCGTTTTAAACCAGGCGTTATTTCTCGCTCCTATATTGCCGCAGTTATGACAAATGTGGCTCAATCAATGAATATGTTTTTATCAAGTTAAAAACTACAGACAAGCAGCGCAGGCTTCCATGTTTTTAAACGCACTTAACCTTATCGATATTCATCAACGCCATAGATGACTGAAATATAGGCTGCGTCAACTTGTCAAAAATGGCAAAGTTTTGTTTTGCAGCCTTAGGAACACCAGGGCCGTGAATTAGAATATTAAACCATCAGCTGACATATTTGCCGCCCCCGTGTCAGAACCGTCTCAGTGAACAATAACAAGTTGGGGCACCGAGCCTCGAGTCAGGAGGACCTCACGTGACGTCTCGGTGGTGGGCGGGTGAGCGAGGCTTGTATCATATACCTAAATTTTGGTGTTTCTGTTTCTGACTGTGGTGTATGTATTCCATAGTTACTATTATGCAATAAATATGCATGCCAGTATTGGGAAAACATGCCTTAAACTTCATTTGGATAGCGCTGTACTTTTAAAAGCTGTTGCATATTGCAGTCATTTGTTCATTATTCAAATCCAGGTATTATCATTGGAAAAACTGTAAGATAATCATGACCTGGCTTAATATGTGGAACAATTGGCATGACAGAAATGTGAGTTGTGTACAGGATGCTATTTAGTGAAAAGTTAACATGATAATAACATTGATATGCATAGGTACCTAATCCATACATAGTGCTTTCTCTGTTCATATGCACTGGGGCTCACAGGAGCATTGGGGAGGAGGGCTCAAGTCAGCATTTAGGACGCTTTAGGCCCCCAAGAGTATGTAAAGTGATGCCCCTGGTGTGAGGCTAACATGGGGCTGGATAGCTACTTTGTTTTCTTGCTCAGCACATTTTTCAGTCTTGCATTATTTTTTCCAAGTTCACCTGCTTGCTTTTTAGCACAATCTATGCTCATGGCTGGCTAACAAATATTTATAGTCTGCCAATTACCTAACCTAGACCAAGGTCAATCATCAGGAATAGCATTTCCTGTCATACCAGGACAAGGTAGATTTGATTTGTTCATAAGCTTACTGTTTAACATCCTGAATTTGTAAGATATCATTCAGTTTTACACCTGTCATACTAACAATACAATTCTCTGATGCATGGTATCAATCTGTAATGCAAAAAGGTCAACATTTGCCAGCTAGATCATTATTTTTCTGCATTTAATGGAAGCTCATTTAGTTTATTGTCTCCTTCCCAGCTGAATAAGCATGATCAACCATAAGCTTGGTTCTACAGGTCTATCCTCCACCATATTGACCTGCTTCAGTTTTATGCTTTTCATTAACACTGCTTCACCTATCCTCACATTTGAATTATTTGATATGCAAGCACATGCTGTACCCATTGCTATTAATTCTTACCAGCTTGCAAGCATTGTCCTCTGCATGTCATTAACTCTACTGCATGCTGTTCTCAGTTAGCATTCTTTATTTCTTTGTTCCATGATCAATTGACCAGTCCTTAGCACCTGGGACACACTGGACACCTGGACATAAGCCTGGCATTGACTGTGAAGCTTGGAATAATTTTGGTACATTCTCTTTAGCCTTGTGTCCCCAAAGCATCTCTGTATATGACAGGGAATTTGCCTTAAAAATACAGAGGTCGAAGTGCAAATAAGGCAACTTCCTTATTCAAAGTGTCTTCTTGCCATTGTGCATTGAACACTCATTTGGAAAACCACAAAAAAGGGCATTGGTTGGGCATAGGGATTTTTCTGCCAAGCATTTGGTTGTGTGAGTGCAATGCTCATGCTATGTTTCAAGAGTACATTCTCTCAGAAAAATCAAGCAAGAACCCAGTTTTTCATGGAAGTTACCCATTTCTGTTCATATATTTTTGGGATATGTTTGTTGGGTGCATTACCGCATACATGGCTCATCTTCAGAGATAACTGGTTCAGTGTTCCTTGAAGCAGAATGGTAGCTATTATTGAATCTACATAACAAGATGAGTAATTAGTATGCCTATATTAATTATAAGGATGCAACAAAATGTATAGAATGTCAGAGCAGGAACTTGTAGCATATGCTTTTCTATGTGTGTGTTTTGTTTGATCTCATGATGTCAAGCAGGTATTGTCTCAGCTTTATCATTGTGTCCACTGCATTGGTACATCTGGCCACATCTTCAACACAACCCTGGGTGGTTTTCCAACCTAGCTTTAACAGGGAAGAACAGTAACCATGCTGATACATCAGAAATAATAATAACTGTGCTGTTACATCTAACTGCACTTTTTAGCACAGGGGTTAAGTATTTAGGGAATGTGGGAGGGAATGTTGGGCCAATATTTCTATGTGGAAATAACCAAATTGAAGATTGTGCCAAAGCCACTTCTTCCCCTCCATCCAGACCAATGCTGAACAATGCTCTGTCATCCAAGAGTGAAGCATATCATCCAATCTATGAACGTCATCAGCAGAGCAGTTGTCTGTTCAAAGGGTGTCCAAAAATTTGGTCATTGAAAAATTTCTAATTTCACAAAAAAATTTGTCACAAGAGTGACAGCCATAAACCACGTCTTAAGCTCAACGCATCCAAAACCGAACTCCTTTCCCTTGGCACCCTGCACAACACCCGCGGACTTTCCCCTGTCAGTGTACGGGTCGGTGGGGAGGCCGTTCGGGAGAGCCTGACCGCAAAGAGCCTTGTGTGTGGTATTTGACCGCCACCTGGGCTGGGACGCCCACGTCAGTGATGTAAAAAAAGTGCGTCGACGACCTGATCGGTCTCCGCCACTTCAGGCATTTCCTCCCGCACTAGTGCTGCTGACCATAGTGCGGGGTCTAGTGATCTCACGCGTGAGATGCTGCAGTTGGGTTTATGGCCAGGGGTCTGGTGTTAATGAGGCTAGACTACTCAAAGAAGTTAACTTCGCTACCAGAGTAGTTACTGGCCTCCGAAAGTATGACCACGTGTCTCGCGCGCCGGATGACCTGCGCTTTGTCACGCCTCGCCAGATCTGTGGAATACTAACTGTTCGCTGCGCACAAAGTCCGTGAGGGAGGTGAACCCGAAGTCTTATCTGTTTGCTTCAAACATTCGTTGACGCGCGGACCAGTGACCGACCTACCCGCACGGACCAAAACCTGCGCCCCCCGGCGGAGCGCACGGCGGCAGGGCAGCGGTCCTTAGCATACCGTGCGGCGTGTCTCATTAGTTACCTGTGGATGTTCAACGACTGAATTCGACAAGATTTAATTATGCTGCCAGTAGGCAATAAGCATTTGTTGGGCGATAAGGTTGTCATGTGCTGTTTATGCGTGCATGCGTTTGTGTAATTTTATTCCTATCATTTTCTGTTGTTTTTTACATACTTTTTTATCCCTCAGACTAATGACATGTAATAGCCATGTATGCATGTGGAGTGTCAGTTGATGTCAATTACAAATACAAGTGCGGGTCCAAAACTGGCGAATGTTGGGAATATCGGTGCTCGTGTTCCCATCCCAATTTATAAGTCCCACAAAGCAACAAATATGGCAGGGGTCAGGGCTCACACAACAAGCACTGCTTAGCGTGAGCTCTGATCCCGGAAATCCATCCATTTAAAAGGTTCGGATCAAATCTTTAAAAAGAAAATGTGTAAGTGCGCATAATCTCATGTTGCAAAAAGAAGTATTTTTAGTGTGCTCTATCAGGGCTTGTTTATGTTCCTGGCTCAAATTATTTTGAAAACGAGCTGCAGCGTATAAGCTGAACTTTTACAGATTTGCGACCCGGCAGAATGATATCGGCTGTCATAAAAGAGTACCAGGGTGTTTGCCCCTGTCTCTGCAATTTCCAAATTGGACCTCGGAAATTTTTGGAATTCCAAAAATTTGGAATTTAATTGGCACCCCTAATTCACGCCACACATCTGACAGCACTTTGTACCTAAGATGATATTTCCGACCCATCGTTATGCATACTGGTTGACTCACACTGAACGACGTATCAGGTTTGGACAGCAATAGACAGCGACATTAAGTGCTGTGCATTTGCGCTTGCATTTGTGTACCCAGTCACGCTGGTTGAATCATCAGATGAGGCTGGCGTCTGTGTTATGCTGCTTAAAAGCTACCAAGCTGCTTCTTAACTACTGGTTTATCGTGTTATGGCGTTGCAGGTGACTATCAGGAAACATGGTGAAAGATTCTAGCGACAACACCAAGAATGAGCCATCAGTTGATGACACAATTCTGGACATCTGGGAACTGGTCAACAAGATCTTGCAGCATCAAACTTTGCTGGAAAGCTGGATGAAAGGTGGATTTTTAAATATTGCCAAAACCAGGTGTGTGGATGGTTCCGGTGCACCTCATCTGTATGTGCGTGGATTTTTAAGTTAATCACGTTTTGAAGTCTACTGTCGCCAAAGCTCTTTTGTGACTCTTGCATAGGGCTGAGGGGCTAAAGCAACTATGATTCATTAGAACGCGTTTTTTAAATGTGATTTATCAGAACACATTCTTTGTTAATTGGCAATTAAAGGCTTTAAGTCATCAATGCTCATTTGCGGACGTGATGTGATTTGTTGTTCCGTGATCGGGGAAAGAGGCTGCGCTTGTGATCCGGGCGCACTGGGTACGAGTCCCAAAGCGTGTTGTTTGGCCCAACTAACATAGAAAGGGTAGCTGACAACAGAGGGTTAAACTGGCCAGGGGTAGCTGTGTTGTGGCATTGTACGGTGGGTAAAACCTTCCGCAAACCCGACTGGCAAAAACAAGGGAAGCAAAATGATATTATTGGAACAACAATTTTATCAGTGCGCGTCATAGGGGATGCCTAACAAACCCTGCTAACAAGGATTGTGAACCGAGAAAAATGAGGCAATCCATTTAAAATGTACTTGTATGAAACGGCGTCTGGCACTGACCTGGCCCCGATCGGCCGTGACCGCAGGTACGTGATGGGCCAGCACGCGGTGGGCGTGGAACAGTTGCCGGCCGGTGAGTGTCAGGTGAGCGCGCGACTCCTGGTGGAGCGGTGCCCGAGCGACGCCGACCACGTCGACGCCCAGGCGCCGCTGCCGGCCGCCTTCCGGCTGCGTGAGCAGCCCGCCGACGCTGGCGACGTGAGCGGCGGCGAGCCGCTGCGCTGGTTCTCGGCGCTGCCGCCAGGGGCGCTACGCGACGCGCAGAAGCAGTTCCGCCGCGCGCTTGAGATCAGCTGTGACATCGCCACCATGAAGGTACAGCTGGCGGCGCTGATGGCGCGGCTGGACGGCTGTGGGCCGACCGTGGCCGCCCTCGCCGACGCCGTCGAGTCCATCTCGGTCAGTTGAGCTCCAGCGGCGGCCTTGTAGGTGCGGTGCAGCCACGCAGCCAGACAGCGTGGGATACGGGTGGGTGCGGCGTCAGCAGGTGCGGGCTATTCGTCAGGCATCCTCGGCGACGTGGCACTGGGGTATTCCATTTTGCGCGTTGCTTCGAATTGTCTTGAGTGCTCCATGGCCATGAACGGGTTGTGTAACTCGCCTTGCGCGAGTTTGGTGGCCGTTGTCGCGTCTCGCCGAACTGCGTGGGCCCATTGTATGAGCCATTCGTGGCACTGGCTGCTTGGTCCCAGTCCTCATCTCGCGCACGGTCCGTAACGGGACCTCTGTCCCAGTCTAGTGTTCAGGACTGGTTCCGGTTGCCGCCCCTGCCCTGGCGTCCTCGTCCCTGGCGTGGTCCCAATGCGAATGGTACTCGGCGCGAGGTCAGGTCTCCATCCTGTTCGCGGTGCTGGTGCGAGTTTGTGGTGTGGTGCCCACGGAGTGCTCGGCCCCCCGGTGCCAGTGCTGGCCGCTGGTCTGGCCCGGTCCTGGTCTATGACCCGGGTCTGACTCGTGCCAGGCCCGGGTCACGGACTGCCAGCCCAGCCCGGATCGCGGGCAGGGTGATGCACCATGCAGCGCACACAGCGGCCAGGCCCAGACGCGCGTGACTCGTGCACCCCGTTGTAAATCGTGACGGTTCTAGCTGCGGCTACAGGGCTCCACAGCTGCGTGACTGGACGCGACGTTGGTCAGAATGGAGCGGCCTAGACCGGTGACGAGCCGCGCCTGGCACGACTCGCAGAGCTTCCGTCGCTTGCTGGGGGGTCGGAGCGGCTGTACATCGATTGCCTGGTGCCACAGAGCGTGTGGGTCTCTAACTGCGGGTTGTCTGGCGGCATTTGGGTAGGTTGTGCCGATGTAGCGTGTTGTTATTTAGCGCGCCCTCCTGCGGGGTGTGCCACGTGGAGGCACATCACCGTGACTGAGCGGAGTAGTCCTACTACGAATGTACTTCCGCTAGTGGGATTCTTGCTCACGGCCGGGAATGATCAAGACGGCCTGAGGAAGGGTTCGGGGAGTGGTGACGCATCATCGATTGCAACAGGAATCGTTCCTATGGACGACTTCTGACCGGCACATGAATGTATGTGTAAGCGTGCGTGTTGCGCGTGTGTGCTGTGTCGACGTATCTTTCACACTTCTGTAACTAGGGACGCTTTTCAATACACTGACAAGGGGGATTTGTGCTCCGATCATAGGCGCTGCGGGTGCGCACGAGACGCGGGGTGCTGGAACCGTCGTCTTCTCTGCTGCGTTACCTTACTTCTTAAGCCCGCAGAACCGCAGTTCTTGTGTTTGCTGCGTGCCGAGTGGCATGCTCTCTCGGTGTATGCCGTGTGTCAACGCTTCGGTCTGTAAATGCCACAATGTGATCACAGTAGCCAGCTTTCAGCAACAATCTGGACATCGTTTTGATGGGGCAGGCCAGGCGAGCTGTGAGGAAGACACTTAATGACTGCTTCAGATTTTGAGGTGTTGACACGTGGCTTTCGGCTGTCAGTGGCGGAGAATATTGACGCAAACATGTACATTCATTGTTACTGTGGTGCCTTGAGGACCGGGATGGGAAGCGAACTGAGAATTTCCGCTCAAGCGTGAACATTGCAAGTCCTATTTACTGCTCAAAGTCTGACTGGGGCATTTCCTTTCTACGAAACTTTTGACTCGTCCATTCCTCAAGCACGTGAAAAGTTGTGATGTCTGTACGAACCCCATGCGAGCTGTGATGCTACTTTGGAGGTTTTGGTCATCCGCAAAAAGTAATCACTAATGGCGTCCCGCTGAGAAATTGTTGGCCGTTTAGAAAATCTCTGCGTTAGTTCCGACTGACGACTTGATGCGAAGATGTTGCAATTTCCAAGCTGTGTCTGCGTTTGGCTTATGCCTCCCATTTCCTTTATATTCGTGTGCGTCATACACAACATTTGGTGGGAAATCCAAAAGCGAAATCATAGTGCGGGTAGTTAAGCACTCGCCAATGCATGGTGACGGGTCACCTGCCACATGATGACCAGACATCTGGGTGCCTCCTATAGAGCAAGCGGAGAAGGGGGGTCATAATGGCGATCTGTGAAAGGGCAAATTGCTGCATCTGCGCAGCTATTTGCCATCCAAGGGATATCTTATCAGCTTCCATTCAGCGACAGAACACCTATTTTGGCGTTGGAGATGGCGGTTCGGTGGCGATCGGTACATCGATTTCGTTCCTTGGAACTGCGTGGTGTAATTCTGGCAATTATCACCACGCCAGCACAAAATCTGAGCTGTCGTTAATGAGCTCATAAGCGAGTTGAGTGTGCTGTGGAGTTAAGTGCGTCAAGTTCCGTGAGTGAGATAAGTGGGTTCTTGGCGTCATGCTGTTCGGTGGTGACGAATGATCAGACCGCCGTCCGTTGAGAGGAGACAAATGGGCGTATCCTGAGCGCAGTGCTGTTTTTCTTTCCAATTTCCTGTGGAGCTAAATGACGCGTCAGGGAGGAGCAGAACGAGATGCGCGGCGTGAATGCTGATCCGTTGCCGTTATATAATCAGTACTTCCCTGAATCTATTAGCGGGATAATTATTCTCGTTCTCTGCAGGGTCACTGCTGTCATATTCGTATACCTATCGTGCACATCACACATCCGCTTTCCGGACATTGAAAAGCATGAGGGGACATTCCACAGCCCGCAGCCGGACAGATGCAAGACCAGAACCATTCAATTGAGACAAAGACGTGCAACTGTGGTCACATATCCGTCCTAGTGTCCGTCTGGCCACCAGCTGTTGAGCACATATTCGGCTTATGCGCATGCACTGTAATTAAACTTGGAATTTTTAAGAAATCGACCGAAAATCATGCGTCTAGCAACTCTAAACAAAACGAGTACGGTTCTGCCACATGAGTTTCACCAAAATGCTCCTCAGATTATAAAAGGACAAACTTCTAGACGTTTAAGCCATGCAAATTGGCAAATAAAACAAACCATCCTATATTCAAATAAAACGAATTATCGCAGCAATTGGCTATCATGCAATGATGCCCCCCCCCCCTAGTCTTATATTATCACTTTCGTAATGTTCGCCCGCATGCCCAAGCGCGTTCACCGCGCTGTGCTGGAAGCAGATGGTCAACGAGAAATTAGGTGTGCGGCGAGGCCATCAGGGATACATCGATGCATCAAATTTGTGTCCGAATCCGACCGGCGGGGCGCCGTTGGCGCATGCAAGCTTGCCCCAATCGTTTATCACGGAAAGCGTGGAATTTGCAAGTTGGCAAAAAATCACCGAAACGGGGGTCGAAACCGGGTTCGCACCTCGGCAATGGGATGCCACAACGAAACGTGATGAACACATTTCGACGTGGGAAAGGAAGCGAAATCGTGCCGGTGAAAGTGTAAGTCGATGTCACAGGCGTGCTCAGCGCTACTGATTACCGCTGCGACGAGCTTTGCAAACCCGAGAAGCGCAAAATGGCCACAGCAGTCTGCGCGCACTTAAACCCCGAATCAACAACAAACCCGAGAAACGTGATTATACCCACATCTCTCGCGGACTGGTCGACCTGTCTCGGAACGGCCCCGGCTGCCGATCTTTGGTGCGCAGGATCTGAATCAGCTGGGGCGCGCGCGTAACTGTGTTAGTCGGATCCAGCTGCGTCAAGAACTGACAAACTTTTGAATCTAGCAATCTTGGGAAGTCAACGCACGCGGCCGGCTAACAAGCAGAGGTAGCCGAAATGACTGTGCTTATTGTACAAATCAGATGATTCAAAAAATGCCCACATGTACGTCTGGCCAGGTATGGCAACATCAGTCTAAGAAATCAGTGACCTGATACTGATAGATGTGATGGAAGCATTACGAAAACGCACACGTTTGTGATGAATACTAGTCCAAATGAGTGGGCTACACGCTTGAATTTTATTATATTGAATATTTTTATTATGTTATAAGATATCATATATTTATATTATATCATATTATATTATATATGTTAAATATATTCATGTCATATATTATATGTATGTTATGTATTATATTATATTAAATACTTTTTTGCCGTCCTTCGGTTTTGGGGCAGATATGGGCCAGAACGTGTTGAGATCGCTGCGAGAGTAGCGGTTTTTATGTGGTACTTTTACCTATAGCAGGCGTTTGCTTTCATGCATTTATCGCCTGCTGCCGATATCTTTTGGAAATCTTTAAAAACTCACCAAAACGGGCAGTCCGTGGATTTGCGCTTGAGAGCACTTGACCGGCTGCAAACATCAACCCATCGTTTTCTTTTACTTCTATGTTTTTTCCTGTGTCAACATGAGTTGGTCTCGCTTAGCTGCAAACATCAGATGATCAATGTTTGGGCTAACCATCAACCCTCGTTCATGTTTGTTTTCTGGAAACCCTTATGGTAAATGTCTGGCACCTGGGAAGCGTAACCTCTAAACAATGGCACTTCCTGTTGATGAGAACGGCATGGAACCACGCCCAGTTGTTGCAGAGGTCTCAGCTTTTAGCGGGCATAACGGCCTTGCCGGGCCGCTCAGGGTGAGCACTTTCTCACTGCTCGAGTAAGAATCGCCTAGCCCGCAGCCTTGCGCGCTATAAAAGCATGGCGCTCAGCGTAAATTACGACCACACGTTAATTGTCTAGAATTATGAAGATACGAATACATCAGAAGGAACTGATGCTCGAGAAGACGTTGAATCAGAAGAAGGGATGTTGTCTCCTGCTCAGGTACGGGAGCTCCAAACCTCAAATTTGGGCTTCATCCTCTCCCCCCTCCCACCAGCTTTGAGAACAACGTGGGTCAAATCCAGAGACGAACCTGTTTTAGGGTATATTCTGTGTTTGTATCGTCATTTTTTCATCGCTCAGCATCTCTCCCCAAACTTGCCTTCCCAATCTACATCCTCGGTCAGAACAAATTGCGACGACACCCGACTAAACTTCCTGCAAAGGGGCTAGTGAGCCAAGTGAACCCCAGTGCACGGGGTAGCGCACACCGACGGCAAGCTGCGTGAGTTCACGCACGTCTGGCATGTCATTAATCGTCGCTGCCCAATGACACGAATGCACCCTGACCGCAAAAGCTGCTGCCCCTGGCTTTGCTCGCGGGTCCAGAGCTGCGCGAATGACAAAAGCCTGGTGGCGTGTGCACGAAAAGGTTTTTGATGCGATCATTTGGCTGGCAAAGACTCTTCTGGTTTCCCGAATCGGTTTAACGGGTCCGCCAAAAGTGCGTCTGCTGGTCATGTCAGCTCCTTACACGCTGTGCTCGGAATTGCATCAGCCGATGTGTTCGATGGGTATTTTGGTAGTACGAATTCCATTAATTGCTCCTGAGCTACAGCCTGACGCCCACACTGTTGTGCCAGAGATTCGTCTCGCCGTCTCTGCAGCGTGTGCCACCAGCTCTGAGCAGAGGCCAGTCGCTCTGGCCGAGCTGTCAGCAGCCGTGCGAGGAATGCGCAGCTCTGGAGTTGTCTCCTGCTAGACGGAGTGCCTATTCCGACAGTGGGTCGCTGCTTTGGCGTTAACGAGCCACGGCTGTTGCATCCGATCTACGCGACCGTCGTTAGCAGGCTTCTCCCAGATCAATGTTTGAAAGCGGGTGTGGCTCCTCGGCATAAGGTCGGAGATTGCGGCCTGCGAGCGATAACCGACTCATCGTACTTATCTAATCATGTCCAAACCACCCAGCTCGTCATTTATAACGAACTGCGTATGCAACACACAGCCACCTGTTCATCCACTTTCAGCGCGCGTACCGCCTCGGCCATTCTGCAGAGGATGCCATGATCCACGCTATTTCACGGGCAGTGGGTCAACTCCACAGGAGCCTACTTGCGTCGACAACGACGACAGATTTAGGCAAGCATTTGACAGCGTGGACCATGGCGACCTCTAGCGGAAGTTGCCACGGCATGGCGTGCCACCTCATCGGCTCAACAGCTACGTCAGCAACAGTAGGCTGTTGGTTCAGGGTAGCTCTGAGGCCCGTCCCGTGGGCTTTGGTGGCACACAGGGGACCATCGGACCATCAGATGATCGCACAGAGCACCCATTTTCTTCAGCATCGTCGAAGCTGATGTCCCGAGTTTGCTTCCCACGATCGTCTGCTGTTCCACGTAATACCTGACAGTGATGGATTTTACTACAGCTGAGCAATTGTCTAGATGACTCAGTTGCAA